AATTAATACTTTGTTTTAGAATTAATCTTATAATATGTTATTATTATGATTTCTATTTTTACATATATCTTCATAACTTTCCTCTTATTAAGCTGGTTCATTATACTCAATCTCAAATTATAAAGGGGTTCTAAGATCCATTCTAATATCTCTGTATTTTGGATCGTCTTAATAATAATCAACCAATTTTATCTTATTTTTGGATAAATAATTGATGTGTTCATATAAAATTTTTTCTAGATATATTAATCTTGGGAAATAATTGTTTTAAATCTCTTAACGAGGGATAATAGGTCGATTTAAAATCTAAAAGGCCTTTTCATAAATAATTAAATTGTCTGTATATTCAATTATCTTAAGCAGTTGCTCTTAAGAATAAAATATATCTCTAAAATTTTATTATTATCTATATTTACTCAAATAGATTAGATCTTTTTAAGAATTCGTAGATAAAATCCAAGATCTATGAGCAGTCATATATGGAATTATTTTATATCTCTATCACTATTTACTTTAATTTTTCATCGATTTTATTCAACATATATCTGAACAGATACCTACTTCTAATAATTTGCTGGCGTCTATTACCATCATTTACAAGATTTCTTAACTCTTCAATGTTAAAAGAATCTATCACTTTTATGATCTAAAATTTATTTCTAAATTACTTATTTCATTTCTTCTGTTATTTCATTTGGTATTTCTTCAGTCTCTTCTTCAAACAACATGTGTTGATTAAACATAATTTTTATTATATGAGAATAAAAATTAGCTAATGAAATTTATAGATACTTTTCCTTAAATAATGTACAAAATTTATAGATACTTTTCCTTAAATAATGTACAAAATTTTAGTTTATTTATTTTAAAAATATCTTGCTTAAATTGAAAAATTATAAAGAGAAAAAAGTTCGGATGATAAAGAGAAATAAGTTGGGATGATAATGATAATAAAATTTGGTTGATTAGACGACTATTAGAAATGAATAAAAAAGAATTGAAAAAATATTTATTAAACAAAAAATAAGTCTAAAACCTTAAAATATCCCTCTAACAATTTATCTCTTCTATGATGGATTCTAATTTATTTACTTAAATGAAAAAATAGAGAACAATGATTATCTATAAAAGTTAAGAGAATTTCAAAGCTATATAAATCAAGAAAAATAATATTATATGGAACGCATTAAAGCTGAATTTTATTTAGACTCTTGAAAAAAAGTTTACTTTGAGCTATATTGTATACAGATTAATTTTTAGTATAATATAAATTTCGAGTATAACATAAACAGGTTAAAAAAAATGAACTAACTATTGTTTATATAAAAATTTTACACTTTTATATTTTCTAATAAAAAATGGGCTATTTATATTAAATGGATCATTTATTATAATTAAAGCTAATTTAAATTATTATAGAATACATTATCATTTTGGTTTATTTAAAATTGCTACAAAAATATTATAAAATAAAAATAATTGTCATTAATGAACTGTTGATTATAGAATTAAATAAATTTATATTGTTTATGTATCCATTCAACCTAAACTATAAAAAATTATGGAAAAAAAGATTTTAAAGAAAACAATCACATTCTATATACTAAATATTCATTACAAAAAAATATTCACTCTTTTGAATAAGTTTCTAGAAAAAATAAGCAAATAAATCTTTTATATGGCATAAAAAAATATAATAAATTTGTAAAATTATCTCAAGTTCTTCAATTATGAGAAAAAAAATTAATAAAATATTTTTTAAATGGCTTTCTCTCATTAATTAATTTTTTAATAGAATAAAAAGTATGCCTGTTTATAAATCATAGTCTTAATTAATAAATACTTATTAATGATAAATCATTAAATGTACTTATTATTAAAATGTGATTATAAACTTCCCTTTATTTATTTTTAAACAATTGGAATGTTATTAATCCAAAATGATATTTTAATTAATAGGTCATTGATTGTAATGAAATTTATAAATGTTAAATTAGTTTACATTTATTTATTTTTATGATCAAAAATTTTAATTCTTTTCAAATTGAATAGAATAGATAAATCTATAGATTATTTTATTTCTGAAATATATATTTATTAGTTCGAGAAATAACGACAAAAATTATAGAAAAAAGAATAGAAAAAAGAAAGTATTTGGAATTAGTAAGATATGAAATTTGGATTTATAAATTAGATTATTCATCTATTTTCTTTTGGTCCTTGCATTAGGTATGATTGTATTTATAAAAAAAATCAATAAAGATCAGACTATCCTTTCATTATATATTTTTGGTTTTAGTAATGGATAATATATGAGTTTGACTCCTTGTAAATTAATAAACTATAGTGCTTTTAAGGTATTGTTTTTAAAAAGGGATCATTAGATGATAAAATGATACTTAAAAAAAATAGATTTGGTTAGTATATAATGTAACTATTTAATTGGAGGGCTTAATTTTTTTATTATATAAAAAATATTTGGTACTTTTGGTGGAAACACAATCCAAAGAGACTTTGGTTTCTCATTATAAAAATTTAATTTAATAATAAATTATTTGTTAATATATAATTAAATTTATCAATAATCCTATTAATAATCTTTGTCATTTAAATTTAGATATTTCATGTATCCTTTCGAAAAAATTTAGATGTTTTAAAGCGATAGGTATAATAATTATTAAAAACATTCTTAATTGGTGTTTTAATTTATTATTTCTAAGAGTAGTTGATTTCAAGTATTTTATGAAATATCATAATGCTCTTTCTTCAATATCAAAATTATTGTCCTTATTGCTCTTAAATTTTACAAGGAAATTTATTCAAAGATTTATTTAAATGGGTAATACTCTAAAAAAAATCCATCTTTTTTTTTTCTAATGATTTATTATTTTATAAGCATAAAAATATTATGGGTAGAATCATTAAGCAGATAAGAAGTATCAATTTATTTGATGCAGAATTAAATTGATAAATAGGCACCTGTCAGTATTTTATTGAGTA